CCGGTGCTCGACAAATCTTCTTCCTTATCCATACCTGGAACGCGAACTTTTTTTCATTCATTCTAGAATTAAGCTCTCTGCAACCCAACCAATCCCATCCTGTTAACGAGGTTAGCTGACATTATGCGTACCATGAACGCGATAATGCCTGTCTGAGAAATTGCTTTCACCATCGTCGACTATTTCAACGCCCCATGACGCCGAAGACGATGCCCACAATGAGCATCGGCACTCACAGCTTCGGTAGAAACACTCCTAATGCCCTGAAAAACCAATATAAACACAACCACACCCACCAGTTGTAAATTGCTTCCGATTGCGACTACATCTTTAGACCACGCGTGGGTCTGATCGATCAACTGATAATCCGTCGCACTGAGACCGGCGACCAGAGCTGGAGCCCCGGCAGTCACCTATCACATGCGCGTCCTTTATCTACAAGATTCCAGACCATTCAGGCACCGCATGGCTCTTTAAGATCATATAATCATTTACGAGAGCAGAATTCACCGTAATGTTCATAAGACAAACTCACCACCTATAACAGAAAACTCATTTACCGACTGAATGAACACGAGAGTCAATACGACGAACGTCACACCACCATCATCACCGCTAGCTCAGTCGACACGGTCTCATTCTCTGTCCGTTGCCAAAAAATTTCGTCAACATAAGTCAGCCTGGTCGACCGGTCAACTGAGACTTGCAAACCAGTGCCAGGAGTCCCCATATACACCCCTTGTATCCGTCTCACCTGGTTAAACTGCCGAAGGACATTCAGCCACAGGTTCCTCCAGGATAACCTCACTATGCCTGCACACATGCATTTCATGGGCTCAACCGGAATCTGCCAATACAACGCTCTATCACCCGGAACTTCCTTCATTTTTTGGACGCCAGTATGTGATCCGCTTCGCCATCGTCCATCTAGTGATGTACGCTGTCAGATGTACGATATGTACATCACACGTAAGTGGCTGCTGACGGCTAATAAGCCAGAAATGGCCATTCCGGTTCCCTTTGCTTTGTCGGATCCACTTCAACATATCAACTCCGTCACTATGTGACGGTCATGAGGGTTTGCATTGCGAGCTCCTTGGCAAAGCGGAACTTAATTGTTCCTTAACTAGATAGGTGAAACACCTGCATTCATTCAGTGGAAAGTATGTTCTTAGACGTATCTTCATAATATTTCTCGTGGGAACTGCCGCGTGTGTCTGTCTTTGTTAGTCATGGTGCCTAATTCCACTATAAGCCGGCTGAGAAACACAGACAGTCCACTGCCTGTATATCTTGCTCTTTGATGTCAGGATCAGTGGGCATGACGGACTCGATGTTTGAGGGAGGAAGGGCAAAAGCCGCCGCGATAGCGGCACAGATGGCCTCCGTATCCAGTGAGCAAGGACCAGCCCGGACAGCTGGGTGCTCCTGTCCGAACCTCAGGGTGCGTTCATACGCGTTCAGACAGCATCGGTGGTGCGATAAGAAATCAAGCCCTAGAATCATGTTCCACGTCAACGTAGGTGTAACTACGAAGGTGTGTTCGCGGGTGTTAGACGGGAACCCGAGTGGAAGAGTGACGGTACCGAGTACGACCATGCACGCGCCAGTGGCGGTGCGGAGCCTAGTGGGGCGAGCGGCTGGGCGAATGTGACAGGCCCAGGTGTCAGAGA